GTCTAATGACATGTGCAATATACCATGTAAACAAAATATATATTTCGGACTTAAAATAAATAAAAAACACAAACATAGTATCAATAATCTTTATCAAACTAGTTGATTAAGTCTATTAGTTTTTATTTTTGCTTATACAAATATTTTATGTATGCGTTTACATTTGTCTTAATTGTTACTACAAACAAAAATATTTGACACAAAAAAAAATACAACAAAGAAAAACATTTCATATATATGTTTCGCTTTTCTTTTGTCATCATTACAGTTCTTATTCCAGAATAGATTCATGAATATTTTCATTTAGATCAATGAATTCTACAAACAACGAGACATCATTACCAATAATTCGTTGTTCATTACAAGATCGTGTTTATGAACCTACTTATTTATTTTTTAAATCAATATATTCAACATATTTACGTTTACTTATTGGACCAGGCATATTATTTAATTCACTTTGTCTATTTATACTTTCTCGGCCGAGATTATCAAATAAATCGACTACTATTGTATTTTTACGTGTTCTTGCACTTTTTGATATATTATCAATTACATTTAAATACATTCGAGCAGAAATCAATTATCAATCAGTTGGAAAAGGTCGTGAGATATTTTTATTAACTTCCTCAGTTTGTAAAGCATTATATGTATTAATGAATGCATGCATTTCAATTGCTATGTGGACTATTGTTTTAATGAGTTTGTAAGCTTTTATTTTTATTTTTTTTTGTTTTCATACGAAAATAACAATACATAACATAAATATTTTTCTTTTATAGAGATAAAGCTGTCGCTGTTAGTTGTCCACTTAAATCAAGTATATGGCTAACCCATAAGAGAGCATTTCAGATTTGTTGTTGTACTATTATTATATTTTCACTTGCCAATTTATCGTTCATTAAATTATCTGATATACACATAGCAAGAAATAGGCGAAAATACTGTGGATTAAATGGTGTTCCTTTTATCGTCGATCTGATTACTGCTTCAATTTGGCCTATAGGTAAATATATCTATTATATCTTTGTTGATTTTTCATCAGCATATTACGTATGAAAATAGACTGTATAGAATGTGATAACAAATACAGGATAATTCGTTTGAGAAGGTTGCAACTAATCACGTGACGAGTTGAATTTTTCAGAAAAAACAGGGCTTTCGTAACGCTAAAAATAGGGATATACGAGAAAACAGGGATATCGTAACAAAATTTACAGGGCTATCGTAGCTGTTATTTACAGAGAGTTCGTAACAGTTGCAGAGTTTTCACAACGAGCCAACAAGGATTTCGTAACAAAAATTAGGGGTATCGTAACGCAGTCACATGTCAAACCACCGGTTACGATCACCCTGTAAAATTCGTTACGATAGCTCTGATTTTTGTTACGAAAGCCCTGATCCTGTCGTTATGAAACCTCTGTTACGGGCTTTCATACTGTCATTTTGTTACGAAAGCCAGACAAGAAAAATCGTGACGAGTTGCAACTTTCCCAATTCGTTTCTTTAGATGTTTCCAGTTCAATTATCAATATTACATAATAGAATTTCTTTTCTATTTTTTATAGATAGGTTCAAATACACAGTCGGAAAAAAGGAGTATTTTTTCTGGATCAGTGAACTCATTCGGAAGACAGCGTCAGACGTTATCATCGAAAATATAGGTTGTAGTTTCTTAGTCAGACAGAAATTATTACATTTCTCGAGAATCTGAATAGACCAAAAACTAGAGATAATTTCATATTACAATGTAATAGGAAGCACAATGCGGAATATAAAGATATGAACATTATTTAATGAAACTAGATAATTGAACGTTATTATTCGTAACTCTAAACAACAGTAATAGTGAAAATTTAGTGAGAAAAGTCTATGATATCAGTTTCGAGAGTCCTCTAACAGAGAAGGTTTTCCTCTTTTGAAATGTTCTTTCATTTTTCTTTTATTAGAAAATATATGTCAAAAGAAATCTGCTTCGGAAACAGAATTTTTGATTGTTTTTTTTCGTCATTAAAATAACTACTAGTGCCATATTCTAAAATGTTTTCTATAATTATGCAAATATTTATGAGACAAATAATTTCATGATTTTTAAATGAAAAATGAATTATAACAATAAAAGAATATTTATCTTACTTATACAATAGTACTTATCAGAATGATTGAAATCGTTTCCTAAATTAAATATGGAATGACTGTTATTCAACCAAATTACTTTCGATGAAAATTTTCTATTTTTGAATAGACTTCTCTAAGGAAGACGTTTTTTACATTTATAACGCGCATCATGTTTTATAAGCTGCAAAGAAATTATAATATTTTTTGAAAAATGACCTTGTTTTTTCTTAGAGAAATCATCTTAACTAAAGTTAATATTGTCTCTTAGGACTACTATGAGTATAATTATGAATCGTTAATATTAAAGATTGATAGCTGTCATATAGAAATGCACCAATATTCCCACGTACACATCATAAACTTCATTATCGTATTAGACAAACAACTTAAACTTATAAACCTAATCCATTAAATCATCATGTTTGATAAGTATTAAAATTTTATTAAAACTCTTCAAAACTGTTTACTAAATAAACCTTCATTAATAAATAAAGTATTAATATATATTCTGATCCTTATTATATGATTAATTATTAAAGAAATACATTCTCTTCTTTTTTTTTTTGAGAAGATAGATTAACAGTAACTTTTTTTGCTAATCAATAGTTGAATGTAATTTTTTTAAATTTATGCTTTATTTTCTTCTGGAATAGTTATTAGACATTAAAATTGATTAGATATGCAAGAAAACATCGAAGTCATATAATATGATAGATGAATTATTCAGCAAATGAAATCTTACCAAAAGTTAGATACATATATTGATTAAGTCATTCTGTTGTTCGACACGATTAAGAAGTTATAATCTTTCAAGACAAATCTTTTTGTTTCTGAAACATTAATGTAATGATCTCAATCATTTTTAGGTCTTATTGTAGCTGCTAACATTGTTATTGTGGTTGTATTACATTGTGCTTCGTATAATTGGCGAACATCTAATGATTCTAACAAACAAGAGTCTGATTTAAGTTGTTGCAAAAAAAATTTATCGACAGCATCACTTCAACAAAATTGTACCGATAGATCAACAACTACAGCAGCCGAATTAGTATTAGCTACAAAACGACGTACAAATGCACAAGTTACACGTATGCTTTTAGCTGTTACATTATCGTTCATTATATTATATTTTCCTCATATAACGTTTTATTTTGCAATAAAACCACTTATTAGCCGTCCATGTTCTGAGATTAGTGATCATGATATAGTAGTATATAAACTTGGATTTTATTTAAACATTATACAACGTATATTGTCGGACTTCTCCCATGTAGTTAATTTCTTCTTATATTGTTTAGCTGGAAAAAAATTTCGAAGTATATTTATAAATGAATTTCATCAATTACTTGTTGATTTTCATTTAATAAAACAAAGAGATAGATGTCATACATAAGGCGCATCTGTTTTAAAGCCTGATTTAACACCAGGTACAACCTATAGTCACGATCTAAGACGTGTATCATCAAAAACTTCTCCATCACAAGTACTGCAAAGTGTTGAAGTTTTATTTAATGGTAAAAATGCTCTAACCATACTTGATCGCCAAAAATGAAAATTTATCAAAAAAAAACAAATTTATTTATCTAATGATCATCAAACATGTGTTCGTTCTTATACAAGGAAACAATAAAATTGTGAGCATGTTGTCTAATTTCTATATGTTGTAACTATATTTTCGTTTTGGTTGTCTACTAAAGTTTAATAAATATTTAATATGATCGAAATTTACTATTAATCTTATCAGATCATTTTGTCATTAAAAAAAAACACAAAATAGCTTTCTATTTCATATTCAATGATTAAATTGAAGATCCATCGACTTGTTTGTCTTTCTATTTACTTTAGAAGAATTTGCGTAGGTTTAACATGAAAATATTCGATTTGACGGTATGATTTCTCCTTTCATGTTTTACTACCGGTTTTTATTATTCGTGATCTGCAAGGAACTATGTAGGTAAAGGAGTAGTATAGATTATGTGTTTATGATTCTTTTTTAACAGACGCTACAAACCACAAGTATATGTAATTTAGTTGATTATATATGATAAAATGATTGCAACAACAGTTTTTGCAAATGTACTTGAGCAATTTTCATCTTCGCATAAGAAAACTAGGCGTAAGTCATTGATAATTTGTTTTTTGAAAGCATCTTCGAAAATTTTGATTCAGAAATTCCTTTTTTTTTCGTAATATTCAAAAGTCATCATATTTGCTTTTCAAGGGTTTTAATGATAATAACACTGAAATGAATTCAATTCTTGTTAATATTGGTCTAATTACAGTGTTTCTATTTTTCCTCTTGATAATATTTTCCTTGATTATTAAATGTATGAAACTGTTTGATGATGAAACAATAACAATAAAAAAGAAAAGTATAGGTGAAGAAAAAAGAACTTTGTTTTCTAATAGATTCATGTTTTTCTCAAAACAACTGCAACAGAAACAGTATCGAACTACGTCTTTGAGAAGTAGACACAAATTCCTATCATCAATTTCGTCCTCATCGTTATGGACCAATTATCATACAAACAAGTCAATCGAAAAACTTTCACGTTTATCTAATGATTAAAAGTCTCAATCTAAAAAACAAAATCTATTACCTCTTTTAAACGTGTAAAAAAATATTCTATTTCTTTTTTTATAATAACTAGTTTTTTTGCACCCAAAACTTCTATAGTTTTATGGCTATACAATAGAATAATAGAAAAAAAAGATCTATGAATTTGACAAAAGTAATCATAATTTTTATTTGCTATTCTGTGGCCTTACAAAAGAAGCATATTCTCTAGTGGCACAATCAGAAAAAAGTTGTAGAAGAGGACTTAATCTCCTGACCGTATCTATAAGGAGAGTGACAACTCTCTGATACCGCCTTTAGAAAACATTCAAGAGTCTTTTTACGGGAAACTTGACAGTTTCTAGAGCGTATCATACATAATATTCTATTCATTGAAAGGTAACAATTGTAAAACCATTAGAAAATCGAGTTTTTTTCTTGTAAGGTCACAACTACTGTATACGTCACTTTTCATGCTTGTCGACATACATAAAGCGATCATTACGAACTTATAACCACTTCATAAATTAGAAAATTTTCTAGTCTATCAAAAAAAGTAAGGCTGTAAAATAAGACATGTCATATTTTATTTATTGATATGTCAACCGAAAATTCTTTTCTGAATTATGAAATTCAATGACATTCAACCCTTGTTAAAATCTACTGACCTATACTATCAATATGAGGGTGTGGGGTGTGGATCTGTGTGGGTGGTGTGGGTGTGCGTGTGCGTGTGGGTGTGGATATGGGTGTTGGTATTCTCATCTCTAACACCCACACCCCCATGTGCATATCATCCAATCCAACAGCTGGCTGTTGATGATTATAAATGTTATCGATATCAAAAAATTATCTATTTACAATTCTATAATGTACATGGATCAAGCTATGATTTTTGTACACAATATTATGAAGCGGAAAAAATATACTGGGTAATATTATAAATATTTATTAATAAAATAAAAATATTTTTTTGAATATTTTTTGTTTTATACTTTGTAATAAAATAAAATTCTAGTATATGGCAATGTTCGTAATTTGGAACATAACCAAATGGTTTGAGTTGTTTTTGCCTAAATGAAGAAAAATGTTTTTATCTACTGAATTATAAGACACAATAGTTTTTCGTCGATAGAAAACTGAAGTAAGGAAATGAAACTATAGAATACAAAAATATGAACTTTGGCAAATTTGTTAGACTGTACATTAGAGTCAATTTGAAAAGCCAATGATTTTGAGTGGTTTTTCAGTTTCGTTTAAATTTCTTATTAAATCAAACAATTTATTCAATCATTTTTCATTTGAATATCAAAGGCTGACATCCTTCTATATTTGTGATACGACAGTTTATTGATATAGTTCATAATCAATAAGATAAGTTTGAAATATTCAAATCAGTTTATTGAGTTTGAGTATTCATGATAGAAATCATGTTACATTTTAGATTAAAAAAATTTAACGGATCCATTAAAATAAATGAGTCTCTCTCAGTATTTTCTCAATATCTTTGTCAACTTTAATAGTTACGAACTAATTTTCATTTTAAAAGACTCAGCATTCTAATCTGCACAAAGTCCGTACGCCATGGAAGTAAAAGCAAAAAAGTCATTACATAAACACTTGCAAACATTGCCATTAAAAGCTTTCATGAATCAAAATTCAGTTTTCTGCTATTGAGGTAATGCATTTCCAGGATTTTCCGGAAATCCAATTAAGTACTGGCATAGTCGTTATAACGTATATAGGGGATAAAGAGGTATAGGAGATATAGAGATATAAGGGATATAGGAGTTATAGAGATATTAGGGATATAGGAGGTATAGGGATATAGGCGATATAGGAGATATAGAAGATATAGGGAATATAGGGAATATAGGAGATATAGAAATATCGAAAGTATACAAGACATACAATATATAAAGTGATCGTCGAATTAGACGACTCTATGGTCACCATATAGGTCTAGGTAAAATAGGGTGTAAGTGTTGTTCAACTGTCTAATATATTTTTCCATAACTTTTACTCCAATTCTTTTCTCAAGATACCACAACGATTTTGCTACTTTCGTAAAGGACTTCAGAAGTTTCCAAACAACACAAAAAAAACCTGCTCACTTCACTCTTTAAGAACATTTCAGCAGAGTGCTCTCGAAAATAGGCTGACTTTCCCTCGCAAATGTAAACAAACTTTCAGCATTTCGTGGGATTTATTGATGAAAGCAAATTTACTAAACTACACGTCGTATCATTATGTAAACGAAGCTCATTTCATGTTGAGAGAATTATTTGACAACAGATGTTTCGTTTCGGAGACTGTCTTAGTTCAATATCTATCTTAAATCATCAATCAAGACAGTTCTCTCTGCACAACATGCCAAGAATCTCAAAGAGACGGATAAATCAAACCAAATAAAAACATAAACTAAGCGGATGCATAACAACGGTACTGGAAATCTGAGAGCTCCACAGTAAAACCAGATTCTTACCGTTTCAGCTCCAACAGACTCACACAATCTCCTATGATGTCTGTGTCTGTTTTTTTTATAAACTGTTCTTCGGTAAGTTCTTTTGCGGTACTCACACTAGCTGCGATCATGTATGTTTCTGTTTTTGTGTATATTGTTCTTCGGTCAGTAGTTTCGCGGAACTCACATAAGCTGCGATGGTGTATGTGTTTTTGTGTATATTTGCACAATTTCTTCGGTATTCCTAATATCTCTCATATCTTCTATATCTTTATATCTTTATATCTACTATTTCTCTTTTTCTATGTCTCTCTATCTCCTATACCCCTATATTTCTATACCTCTATATCTTCTATACCTCCTGTACCTCCTATACCTCTTTATCTCTATATCTGCTATACAGACTATACTAGTACTTAATTGAGTTTTTGAGAAGCTCTAAAAATGCATCATATGCTTTTATTAATGTATTCTTACATTAAGATATGAAAAAGTGACATTAGCTGTTTCGAAAAAGAGCTTGAAAAGTTCTATTATGTAAGTAGATACACTGATTTTTACAAAAAACCTCTATCGCACAAAGTAAACTTGAATGTTTTAGATTTTGAAAAATGAAACTATTTTTTCATCATAGAATTTCATATACTTGAAAATTTTATGTAACTTAATTATAGATTCTTTTTCGGTGCAATATTGTTTTTTATTTAAGAGTTACTAAGTCATATCGTAACATATGTCTATTTAATTCTGATTAAATGCTTTTTTCTTTCAATTAGATTTAAACCAAAAGGAACCGATATAGAAGATTTAGATCGGTTTTCTAAATAAAAGACTTTTTTTTCAATATTTTATGTTGATACGTTCTTTTCCATGTTTCATTAAAATTTCATTTAAAACTTGAAAATTTTCTGATTTTTCTACGAAGATGTTCTTGTTTTCAGTAAAAGTTTAGGAGTTTCTTTTTAAATTTGAAGCATTATTAACAATCTTCTATGTCAATACAGATCTTTTAACATATAAGACTACTCATTTATGATTAATAATCGTAATTAATTTTTTTTAATTGTTTACTATTAATAAGAGTTAATAACTGATTTTGGTTTGTTATACTTGCAGTGTGAAAAGTTTAACGACAGTTTTAAGAACTTGTTGTATACGTATCTATTAAAAACAAAAAAAAAGGAAAAGGATAAATTATGTAAATATGACTCTAAATTCATTAGGAAATCATTCTATTTTATGATAAGATCATAGCTATTCATACCAAAGTATAACAGAACTATATATCATATTTTCGTTTGTAAAAAAAAAGTTTTACACTTGTATTCAACTAAAATAATAGAGTTCACTCAGACAATTGATTCTTTTGAGAAAGAAATCTAAATGAAAATATATTATTTTACATTTGAAATAGATAAATATTTTCTTTATTCTACAAGTTCGAATTAGTTCTAAGAGTTTGAATTGAATCTAGACTGAAAAAATCGAAATTCAAAATTGTATGTGTCAACTAAATCGTCTTCTTTTACTGTTCATTTTTTTTCTCATATTTCCAAAAATGAATCAATGTTAGATTTTTCTTTCTTATATTGAAAACTTGACATATGATGCAATATACAAACATTATGCATATGATTCTTGCAGTTTCTTGTTGTATATAAGTTTTTTTCGTAAACATGATTTATATGAAAAACCGTTTTTTTTTCTGTGTTTATTTTTTCATATTATTTCTTCAGCAAAGTATATATACATATATATAAATGAAAATTTCAATAAGAATAATACATGGTACATATAATGAACTATAGAAAAGTAAATAATATACAATACACATTTCAGAATAAAACATAAATATATATGTGTGAATAATGTGTTCTACAACAAACAGTATGTTTTCTTTGATTTTTTTTTCTATTTTAATAGTGTTAATACTTCTTTTGCTAGAATATAATATCTGATTAATATAATCTAATATAATATAAATATTTAATATACGTTTATTCATATCTAGATTTTCTATTACGAAAATATTCAATTCCAAAATATTGTATATTTGTAACATTTCTACGAAATTTTCGATTCTTTGTTGTGATATCTTCTAGTTTTGTTAATATATCACTTGTAAATAAACAACTATTTGTTGTTGATAACCATGTATTTTTATCAAATATCAATTGACAACAACTATCATCATACCAAAAATTATATTTTATTGTACCAAAAACTTGTTTTTCTAACAAATATCCACCTTCTAAAGATTCTATTTGATGAGATGTACCATATGAAAAATCATTAAAATAAGATCCTACAAATATATAAAAAAATTCATGAATTAAATTTACAAGTAATCTTGTATTCATTGTTATTTTTGACCACATTGGTTCAGTTAATGCTTTTTTATCTTGATAAATAGCATAATTTAATCCAGCTAAACCAAGTACAGGTAATTTAACGTCATATACATTTAATTCATTTTTAATAATGTTTAGTTGTTTAATTAAACAATTTTCATTTATATCCATATTATACTTCTCATTACATGTCAACAATAATAAAGATAGAAAACGTTTTGAATTCATAATAATATTTTTAAAATATTCCACATGAAAATCATTCATTATATTATTAATATAAATATAATTATTATTTATATATTCAGCCATTTCATGAAAAATAATATGGTGTAAACGGGCATATGATCGAAAATTATTACTGTTTATAATACTTTCTATTTGTTGATTATCAACAAATAAACGTGAATAATGAAATAATGATATTAATTCAATTAAATGTACATTTTTTTCACATAATAGTTCATTATTATTTTCATATTTTAAAAGACATAATCTTAATGTTGTTATAAATAAATGAACAATTTTCTCTATTACGTTTATTTCATCGCCTATATCCTTGTGATTATAATAAAAGATTAAAATTTCTCCAATTGTCCATTGTAATATAGGATCTATATTTTGTAATGATATTTCTTTATATGGTAAAAATATTTGATTATCTATTAAAATTAAATTATATCTTGACCATTGCACTTCAATATCTTTAGTTTCATCATGTGATTTGATTTTTGAAATTGTATGTTCGTCCGTGTAAATATATTTTAACAAAATACTAAAATCCATTTTATGTTCTTTTACAGGTAGTACGTGGTCTAGTGATATCAAGCAATGGAAGAAATACCAATCAATGTCGAATGCACTACGTGTGGCGATACCTAAGATGAGACTCATTTTTGGAAGCTCCTATTTATAGCATATTAAGTACATTCCTAATAAAGATTATTTATGAAGTCAAATTTTTCTGACCTACTATAATCATGGAACTAAACTAAAATAAAGCAATTGATTTACTGACATCTTTCGCTTGTATTCATTGTCACACAAAATTGATTGTACTATGCAGGGTTTCTAATGGCAAGTGTACACAACAGAAGCAAAATGTATAAACATTTGCAGATTTGAAAATACACGCTGCTGTACATTTGTCCTAAAAAAGGAGAATGTACATTGTACACTTTGAAAGTGAGATTTTAAATGTATTTTTATCTCGAAAATTATATCCAAACAATAACTCGATTATGGTCTATTTTTTATCTTTTCTATTCGTTGACTGACATGCTTTCTCTTCGTGATTTCTTCTCCTTTCAGTTTTGTACTAACTCGTTCCTGATACTGATATGCCAGCTGCAGGAGAACAACCAAAAATTGTAATATTCAACTTAATATTCTTCAAATCATACTGGTTTTCGTGATGATGCAAAGGACCATGACCGTTTTGATAGGGTTTTCTGGTTACTTCGTATTTTGAAAAATAATAAACCAGGGTTCTCAGGTTGATGTGCTTTCCTAATGCTACACTTTTGTGTAGTGAATCGTTCTAAATGAATCATAACCTCCCTCCGCCCTCCCCCCTCCCCTCCCCCATAAGTGGAGAGGGTGTGGATGTGGGTGTGGGTGTGAAGTGTGGGTGGGTGTGGGGTGTGGGTGTGGGTGTGGGTGTGGGTGTGG